CCTGAATTCCACCCCTATGACAGCACTTGTAATGAGCAATGACAGTCCAGGAATGTAACTACTAAAACACATATGCATAGAAAACCGTTATATTGACTCGCCGTTGTGGAGTGTGTTCCCAGTGTTCCTGTGTTCAAAGGATCCCATCCGTGGGCCGCGTGTTGAGGAGCCCTGCATTATACTGTATATTAATTCCCCCTGTCGTTTCTCTTGGCGCTTGCCGTCACGCAGCACCCGATGGGATTGGAGTGTGATTGCAAAGAGTCCAGTTAGCTGTCATGATGCTGGACTGGGCCTGACCACAGAGCATGAACCAGGTCAAATTTCGATTAAATATCATGTCAGCTAATTCTGATTAAACACTGGTGCCAGCAGTAGCACAAAACTCAAGAGCTTGCACTCAAGGTACATAACACCAGAAATGCAAATTACAGCAGATGAAGGGTTTTGCCTAGGACCCCATGCGTTCCAGTGCAGTTTCTGCCTGAGCTGGCATTCTCTGAAGCTCTGCACCCTTGGGTGGAAGTGGCTCCTCCTTGGGGTGTGCTTGGAGGATTAGTGAGTGGAGGGATTGAGACACACAGCAATGGGCAGTCTGGAGGAGGTATACTGTTGTGACTGCCTGGCCTGCCCCTCGGCCACTGGCAAGGACTGGTGGGGAAGCTGTTGTCTGGCTGCAAGTGCAATGACAGTCTAAAAGAACATTTCGTAACTATTAAACCTATGGAAAATTCCCTCTCTCACTTTAAATCCTTCCTCGTACTCGGTGAAGTCCCGTCCCGGCAGTTGTGCTTTCTGAGGTGGAAAATTAGGTTTTTCTCACGTTGGCTACAAAAGAGCAGGTGTGTCCCCAGATTCACCCCAGCTGGCGTGTACCTACCTGCAGCAAGACACTCTGGAAGCAGGAACGTGCACCGGCAGCCTAAGAACCAGCTGAGAGAAGGGAAGCAAAAGGCACGTTGTAGCAGCCCGAGCATCCAACAGAGCAGCTAGGTTTCTCTGTCCGAAATAGATCCTCCTTCGTGCCCTCCCAGAGCGGCATGGATTTGCAGACAACACTGTGAGCACCAGTCGCGTACGATGAGCAGATGGACCTGCCGTTGCTCAGGTCTTTAATGAAACAGTTTTTAAAAGAAATGAAAAGCGGCCATGCTTCAGTTCAGGACTGTGTTTTTCAAAAATGAAGCCTAGGGTGAGGTTTCAGGGTGGAGAGGGGCAGGGGATGGGTGGCTTAGGGCAGAGGGTTGGGAGGTATTGGGGGGGCTCCAGGTGGGGGGCCCAGGGCAGGGGATTCAGGTGGTGGGGGCATAGAAGTCAAGGCAGGTGGGAGGTGCAGGACTCAGGGCAGGGGGCTGGGAGTGGGGGGCGGGGTTTATAGCGGCTGCCCATGGCAGCGAGGGTGGCGCTGCTCTCGCAGTGGCTCCTCCCAGGGAGCCGGGGCAGCGCTCCCCAGTCAGCGGCTCCTCCCGAGGGGCTGGGACTATGCTTCCCGGTGGGGGGGATCCAGGCCTCTGCCGGCTGGCCCCACCCTCCAGTTGCCTCCCCACACCTGCAGCTTTTCTGGGGAGGCAGCACTCTGGGGGCAACCCCCAGCCTGCTTCTGCCCCCCAGCCTGCTGCTGCTCCAGGGTGGCCTTGCCTGAGACAGCGGCCCCCTCATCCTGTAGCCTGTTGGGGGGGTGAAGCTCCGTGGGCTGGCCCTGGTCTCCGGCTGCCCCCCCGCCCTGCAGCTGGTCTGTGGAGATGGTGCTTTGGGTGCTCCCCCCGCCACCAGTGGCTCCCCATCCTGCAATATCTTTGGGTGGATGCGCCAGGGACTGGCCCAGCTCTGGGGCCTGGTCCCTGCCTCCAGTGTCCCCCCTCTGGTGTGCAAGCTGTCGGGGGGGCTGAGGTTCCGGGGGCTGCCCCCTGGCCTGCAGCCCCCCTCCTCCCCGGGGGCCTGCAGGTTCTCTGTGGGGGGGCGGGCGGGCTCTGGAGTCTGTGCCCCCTTCTTTGCCCCTCCCTCCCCAGCTTACAGGCTCCATGTTTGAGGCAGGGATGCTACTTATCCAGTCTGGTGGCAGGCAAGATGGCAAAGCCCCAGTCCTGCTGGCCACTGTCTTTGTGCTACAGCTGCCCCCAGTATCGCGTTCCTCCTCTCTGTGCCCCACCCTCTCATGTCCCTCTGCTCTCTGCCCCTCCCTTTCCCTGGCATGGAAACCAGCCCCATTCCTGGCACTTCCTGTTTTCCAGGTGCAACCAAACCCTGACCCTGGTTTTAAGTTAAAGTAAGAGGAAGCCACACACCACATTTGGTGGTCTTAGCTCTGATGATTTAGGAAGAGTTCTGGAACAGACAGACAGACGCACTCTAAAATACATAGAGATGTGCCAGACCATGGGCCCCAAGCTGGCAGAAGAAAGTAGTGAAAAGCCAGCACATCTGGCTGGCTTCATGAGCATTTCTGTAGCCAGGGGAATCCCCCTTAGCTGCTCTTACACCTCATCCTCTTGGCCTTCAGCATACGGGCATGCTAGGACATCCCCATGCCTGGCTGGTGGAGAGCCCTTTGGGTATTAGTTACAGCAGCCCTGAAACTGCTCTCATGTATACCAGAAACCCACCGCATCCTAAGCCGGCCCCCACATCAGGCAAAACAAGGCTGACATCTTTAAAGGCACCTTTGTCCTTTCCCTCTCTCCTCTGCCCCGTTCACTTTTGCCCTGACCACAGCTTGGTCCAGTGGGGGAATCTAGGTTTGTATTGGGACTCTGGAAACATGTCTTAGGCTATGTCTAAACTACAGAGTTTTTTTGGAAAAACTGCCATTTTTCCGGAAAAAACTCCAGTTACGTCCACACTGCAGTCACGTTCTTTTGAAAAAAATCAAAAGAACTCAGGGGTTTTTCCAACATTGGTAAGCCTATTGCTACGAGGAAGAAGCCTTTTTCCAAAAGAGCTCTTTCTCAAAAAGGCGCGTGTGAACAGGGAAGAGGGAGTTCTTTCGGAAGAAGAGGAAAGAGGAAAAAGCCCAGTAATCACAGCTTAAGTGGGAGAGAGCGTTCATTCAGTGTGGATGCTGTCTTTTCAAAAAGCAGATTGCTTTTTCGATGCGCTTTGGCAGTGTGGACGCTGTCTTTCGGAAGACGTTTTTTCAGAAGATCTCTTCTGGAATAGCTTCTTCCGAAAGAAGCCTGCAGTCTAGATGTAGCTTTAGTCTAATAAGGTAGGATTGCTTACCCAGGTCTCCGTGTTCAATTGTCAGGGCTTTTGATGCATTTAAGGCGAGTTCATGGTTTATGTGGAAGTTTTGGCAAAGATCAGAGATTTTCCAGGAACACTGATGGGCGTATTTAGTTGTAGCTGGTTTCCCATATTGAAGCCTGGCTCCTGAGTGGTGCGCAAGAACTGCTTTGAGTCACAGGATAACGTGAAAGAACCACCCTAGTAACCTGAGTATGCAGATGCCTCTACTTCTGTTCAAGGCACTTGGTGGGAAAAGTCTGCAGCTCAGTCTACAGCCAACCCCCCACTCTCCCTAAAGGGCGGTTTTGTCCTGCACATCTGGAGTCTGATGCTCTCTGCCCTACCACATTCAACTGCAACCATCAAATACAGGGTCAGAAAATGGGGCCCAGTGTCTGAACACCTGGATTTCGTATGAACACATGAAACACGAGTTATTTCACAAAGCTTTAGAAAATCCACTGTGCTACAACCGCCTGCAAAGGACACGCTAGATACGGGGTAACTAAGCCATCCCTGGATCATCTGGCCAGACTCCCTTCTTAATTACAGAAGGCCACCAAATCTTGCTAGTTTCTGAAGCAAAACCCCTCCTGGACCCAGCTGCTGCAGTGGGGTTTTGCTTCAGAAACTAGCAAGAGTTGTCCTCTAACTCTATATAGTCAGCCAAGAAAATGTGTTCTTAATGTAACTCAGTGGTTCTTTGTTTTGTGACAGCTATACGAAAAGGTGACCAGTGTCTGTGTGGTTGTTTTTATTGTTTGTATGCCAGTTGCCTCTAGGGGCTTCAGGTCCGTTGTGCTGACAAACACACAACCGAAAGATGGGCCCTGCCCAGAAAAGCGCACAGTCTAACTGTGATTGCGGCTCTTTCTCCCACAGCCATCAAGACTTCTGCTACTGCTGTGTCATTTTTGCATGTATACGTCTGGTATGAAATCTTTTTTTTTTCTTTTTTCTTCCCGCCTCCCCCCCCCTTTTTTTTTTAACTACACTGAGCATTCTTCTTCCATATCCCTTTTGTTGGCTATATTCTGGAAATAATAATGCAATAGATAAAAACAAACGTTCCTTTGAAAATTAGACCAAAAGTGTATACGTGTGTAAATATGCGTAAGTATATAATTATGCAAGTATATTCATAGAATGAGCTAACTGTGTTGCAGTTTAATATAAACCAGTAATTTGCTGCCATGTAGGAAGTTTGTCTGCTATAATTAGAGAAATAAAATAAAATGTTATCCAAAAATGCTCCATTAGCATGAAAGTCCATGAGAAGAAGTCTTTACAGATGTGGTGTTAACAATGTGTATTTGTTTGTGATTATCAAATTCCATTGTATAGCACGTTAACTGTGCTTATTGCATTAGGTTTGCTTTGGTAATTGTTGATAAGGTGTCTCAAAACGAAATACACATAAAATGGGCAAGTTTAAAATAGAAGTGGGTTTTGTTGTTCTGTTATAGTCAAATGGCCGCATTCCGGCATATATTTACTTGAAGGAAAATTGCTTTGTGAGCTTTAGGGCTACTGTTGAACTCCTTGGAGACGTCTACCTTAGGAGCTATGTGTTTTGCTGCCAGACTTTGGGAGTCTGCTGCTGACTTTATTAAATGTGAAAAGCGTATAATTTGGTAACATTGTGAAATCTGGCTTTCTTCTGTTGCACCACACCTAAGATATTCATCAAACATTTTTATCCTACTTGCGAGATTTGGGGAGGAACAAAACAACTTTGTTCAGAATGACTGACATTTGAATTTGTCTTTTTTCAGGGACTGGTTAAGTGTGTTCAGCCCTCCCATAATTCTTCCAAGCCAAGAGCTAGCTCAGCATACTGACTCTTCAGCAAATCTACGTGTTCCAGGTAGGAATTTATACACATGAGAATATGTGACTGGCTTACTAATGGTCAGAAAGAAATATTGCTCAGTATTGCCCTTACGCTGCTGTTAAATGCTGACTTCCGCAAGGAAGTCCTCGTGGCCGTTTGGTTGCGCTCCCACGGAGGTAGATTCTGGTCAGACTCAAGTCTCCTGATTCTTACCTTCAGTTCAAACTAGTAGAGTCAGGCAGGAAACAGAGCTGTGTCTCCGGTAAGTGGAGAACGCCTTTGCTTAGTGAGTGTGGCCTGCTAATGCCGAGCAGTTTGGATTAGCCCTGGACGTCAGTGCAGCCTGTTCATTTGGAAAGAGGATGTTGCTGCTGGAGCAGAAGGAGGTAGGAATGGAGAGTCCATGTAGGGAGGAGTGTAGCCTTTACTCCTACAGATAATCGCTACCCGCCAGAACAGCTCCACTGACTGAAGCGGACCCACACTGATGTGCAAGCACTGCTCATGTAAGTGAAGAGTTCAGATCCTGTCCTAAAGGAAAGTTTGGTTTTGCTCTTGAGCATGGTTACATACTCCTGAGTCAACACCGAAAATGACAGCAGCACCCAGGTGCTAAGGTTCTTTGCTGGAGACAGGTCTGGCCCTAGAGCAAACGGTGCACCGTTTCCCCCCTCCGTTTGTTAATCTTTTGAATACCGTTTTTTGTTTTTGTTTTTGCATTGTAGCCCGTTTCACAACTTTGCTGCCCAATTTGTATACATGATTTTTCCCTGTCATTGTAAGACAAGAAATGTGCATGCTAGGATCTGTAAAATTTGCCCCTTACTACAAACTAGATTGCAACTGAGCTTTTTGCATCCACTTCTGAGTCCCTGAAGACTCCTTCAGGGGCATCTTTTAATGGACAGTATTAGGAAGTGCAAAAGCCTTTGTTCTGCAGCCTTAGAAAGTCATCAACCATATTGTGTTAGGCACAGCCAAAGTAGCAGCAGTGTTCCTTTCATATTGTTGCATATATAGGGGTTTGACAGGTATTGCTGGCATCTTGTTAAGTAGGTCCTTGATTAGTAGCTACTTACACTTTTCAAATCTTAAAACACAAGTACAAGTAGAATAGAACAAGATTCACATTATCACAGCTGGGCTCTCACTTCATTCTTTTGTCCCACTGACTGACTAGCCATGCCCTCCCCCATAAATACCCACAAGGGCATGGCTGACAACAGTCTAGGAGGGTGAGGGAAACGTTATTCTCAGAAAGTCTGGAAGGCTCCATGATATTCTACAAAGCTCCAGAATGTTCTAGGAAGTTAGAGAAAAAATGAATCTGCATAGGGAATATCTGAAACATTTTACTTCAAACATTCTATTTTCCTTTTTGTTTCTAACACCAAAAATGGCACCTGACCCTGACACCCCTAAATCTGGCTCTGGCTAGAAGATGACAAAGAATGTGTCTTGAAACAGCAGTGAACAACAATAGAATTAAAATAAATGCATCTTTTCCTACAAAGGTCCTTTTTTTCTTTTCTGCTACCCGAGGGAATAGATTAGGTTCCTACATTTTTCACTAGGTACAGAGAATTCAGTGTGAGATCTCATAAATCTCAGCTGTGTATTTTGTCGGCCCAAGGGATGAACATGTGTCAGTGATTTACTGTCTAAAATAGATTATGCCCCTCAAATTTGGAATCTTTTATAGGTGTACATTTGTAATTGCTTATGACAGCAAAATAGAATGCTGCTGTCAAGAGGGACCTTGCTTTGACGAATCGAATAAATATGTTATGTTAAGTGGCCCAAATAAACCAAAGAGAATGGGACAGCAATCCTTGAGTTAAAAGCATGTTAGACATATATTTCAGAAAGGGACCTGAGATGATTCTTGATGTCAGTATTATGAAATCCAAAACTTGCAGCAGTAACCCTAGAATTTCCATAAAATGAAAATTGAAGGATTTAGCTCAGAAAGTGGCACAGATGCATATTTGCCAATTGGTTGTTTTTTCCCTCTGATTCTCACAAGAATCTCTAATCTAGGTAACTTGTGAAATGCTTATAAATTAGCTTCCCTTAACAAAATATTGGATGTGTTGATAGTAGTGTTCCAATATATTTATTGGAAGCTAGGGAAACTTTTGAGAAAGAGGGAGCCTGTTCAGGAAGGATGAGCATCACCTAAACCAAAATGGAACCAGACTGCTGGCACTTAACATTCAAAAGGTCACAGAGAAGTTTCTAAACTAAGGGCTGGGAGAAAGCCGACGGATGCGGAGCAGCACATGGATCCAACAGAGACATCCCTTAGGGGAGCCCATAATTACAATTACACAGGGAACTTGGCCTGTCAATGGCTTTTGTTGCTTGAAAAGAAGCTTCTTGTGTCAGGCTGATTAGGGAAACTCTGGATCTCCATGGTCTTCACCTGCCATCACAGATTCTTGACATCATCCATCCTCCTTTGAGCATTAAGCCAATTGTAAACCTCTTTTTTTTTTTTTTTTTTTTTTGCTGATTAAAGAGTTAATTTGCCAAGTGCGAAATGTGCCTCTCCTCTGATGAGTAGGTGCCAGGATTTCCTAAAGCTCATCAAACCATTCCTGAGCGTGGTGAGTGGACGAGCTAGTCGATTCTGCACACGCCCTGTGACTATTAGCCTTGAACGCCTTGCAATGTATCTGCGCATGGTTGAGGTTGTCAGGTAGGTCAGAGAGCCTCTTGGTGAGGTGTTGCTGATAGGTCTCACAACTAGCATGATTTTGAAATGCCACGACATTAAATCTCTTTTGTGTTCTGTTCGGTTGCTTACGGTGTGGTGATACAAGCCACGTGTTCAGAACTGGTCTGACTAAATGATGGTCTGTCCAGCTGTCATCGGTACCTGGCTCAGCTCGTGTAACATGGACCCCAGTACAATTACAGGCTCTGACAATGACAGTAGCAAGAAGATACAAGTGTTCAGAACGTGGGTGTTTCCCTCTGTGTTTGTGATAAGCAAATCATGTTGCGTAGGGGAAGAATGCTATCAGCGTTAGCTTTCCCCAGCCCTTCTCTCCCCGTGGGGTCTCTCTGGAGTTTGAGATGTTGCCCATCTCTTGCATTGAAGTCACCTACGAGGCTACCTTTCTCTTCCTGGGCTCTGGAAGTGAGAACTGCATCAAGAGCACACAAGAACTGCTCTTTGTTGTCTTCATCATCATCAAGTGTGGGCATGCACCCACTAACGACCATGCACCCACTAACGACCATGCACCCACTAACGACCATGCATATTGGTTGCTACTAAGCTTAAGACAAGTCATGACACAAAGGTTAATACCCATTTGGAGTTCTAAAAGCTGGTTAGCAATCTTGTTCTTGATGGCCAAACCAGCCCCATGAATATGCCTCCCTTCAACTGTCTTTTCTTTCCCAAAGAAGATATAGCCACCTCCATCTTCTTCCAGTTGGCCGCCTCCTGCCCCATGGGCCTCATTCAGGGCAGCACTATGGACACTCTGTCTTGCAAGCTCTCTAGCTCTCATAGCAGTTCTGCTTCCAGAGCAGTCAGTGTCCCAGGAATCCATGGCAGTGCAAACATACCAGGTGGCGAATTCATTGCTTGGTTTTGTGTGCTCTGAGCAGAGATCGCTCCTTTTCTAGCCCTTTGCTCATTCAGGGGGAGCAGAGGGGATCCTGAAAAGGGCCAGCCATAGGGGCAGCTGCCAAAATGACACTTGTGAATCCACGTGCAAAACGACCAACATATGGCTGCCACCTGCATGCAGGTGTGTGACCACAGACTCCCAGAGATCTCTGCTTTGATCCCCAGTGCCACTCATCCGTCACTGCAGGACGTGGCTGGCGAGAGACGTTAACACTCTTGGCAGAAGCCTTCTCATAGGGAGCCCGTGTGCAGACAACAACCTCACAGAACTTGACAGGAAGGAACCCTGAACCCCATGGCAGGGGAGTCCGAGACAGCCGGAGGCCTTTGTCCTGCCACATCTGTCACCTGCCAGGCATAGGGAACTGACACATCCTCCAATACATCTGCTCCTCTGTTATGTCCCTCGAGACATTACAGGCAAAAGGCGTGTGAGAGCTCTCCGCACCGAAGAGTTATGAGCATGCAGGGAGCTAAGAGATCTGTTTCAGTCTAGTATCTGGACTATTAAATAAACTGCAAGGCTGTATTTAGGATGTGGAAATCCATTCTTAGCCCCAAGTACAAGTACAAGATGAATATGCGCTATCCACAGTTTGTAAAACAAAGTTCTTTTCTCAGCCCTGCTTTTCTAATAGCTAAGTGTGAGTGAAGACATCACTTTTTGATAGGAAGTAATTCACAGTTGAATGCAATCTGTATCTTGCATTTCATCATCAAAGTTTACATCTCTCTCAGAATCGTAATGCAAAGCATGTGGTTTATATGCCAAAGTAATAGCCTGTTATGCTAACAGCAGCAGTTTCACAACACTCGGAATCTATTTACACCTGGGAATGCACACTGAGAAATAGGTTATCTTCTCTGCTTGCCAAGAAAGAGGCTGGCGTGGTAGATGCACAGAAACACAGGTTACTTGCCTGTGTGGTAACTAGAGTTCTGTGAGATGTTTGCCCTTGTACGTGCTTCCCCTTAGCATGTGGTATAGGCATGACCTTCGCAGCTTCCTCTGGCAAGGACTTCCAAGGCTGCCTGGTGCGTTGTGTGAAGAAATGCTTCCTTTTGTTTGTTTTATACCTGCTGCCTATTCATTTCATTTGGGGACCACTAATGCTTGAGCTCTGAGGAGTAAATGACATTACTTTATTTACTTTCCTCACACCCATCATTACTGTATAGACTTCTATCATAGCCCCCTCTTAGTTGTCTTATTAATCTTGCCTCAGACAGAAGCTGCTCCATACCCTGTGATCGTTTTGTTCTGCTTTTCTAACCTTTTCCAATTCTAATCTATCTTTTAAGAGATGGGGTGACCACATCTGCACCCAGTATTCAAGATGTGGGCGTCCTATGGATGGATATAGCGGCAATATGATATTTTCTCTCGTTCTCTATCCCTTTCCTAATGATTCCCAACATTCTTCTTCACGTTTTCCACTGCCGCTGCACGTTGAGTGGATGCTGTCAGAGAAGTCTCTACAGTGACTCCAAGATCTCTCTTGAGTGGGAACAGCTACCTTAGACGCCATTATTTGAACTGTGTAGCTGGGATTCTGTTTTCCAATATACACTACCTTGCGCTTACCAGCACTGAATGTGGTCTGCCATTTTGTAGCCAGAGTCCCACTTTTGGTTTAGGGATCGCAAACTGCATCTGGGGTAGGATCTAAATTATTATTTCTGCTGCTCTGCTTTTCAGCTAGAAAAGATTTGTCAGAATACCACCATGTCTGGTTACCAAACCAATAACAAGTTTACCACCCTGAAGCATGATTAAGGGCAATACACAACTGTTTAAGCAATTCTGTGAGAGAGTGTGCTTCAACTCCTTATCAATACATTTATTTTAGACCAACTTTTGATATACATTCCAGCAAACTCTCTGTGCTTTAGGTTATTAGGCAAATTTTGCATTATATAATGTTACCTCAACTAAATATAAATCTTCAGAAACACAAATGAAACCATGAATAAATGTTAACCTCAAATGTAACAATTTTAGTATTTTATGCAAAACCCAAGAGATTACACCCTTCTAAAGAAGCACTCAGCCAGATTGTCTGCTGTGATAAAAGGGTGTGTCTCCTGTGTTTCAGGAGTGACTAATAAGGTAATTTTGCTCTTATTTCTCTCGCTTCACACAGGTGAAGATGACTTCAGTACAGAGGAGGATGAGGAAGTCCTGACTCTTTTGTATGATCCATGTCTAAACTGCTACTTTGATCCAGAAACTGGAAAATACTATGAGTTGGCTTAGCAAGTTCTTGGTTGAGAGAGTATTGCTCTCCATCAGAACAGAATTAACATCTAGTTCTCTGTTAAGTATTAACCCGAATGTAACACTTTATTGTGTAATTAAAAATTGGAATCAGTAAGTAATTTTGCAAGCAAAGGAATATATTTTACAAATAATGTAACATCGGATTTTGGTAGTTTTGTATTGTAACACAGTAGAACATCACAGCACACGTGCTTGACAGCTGTTTGTGAGACTGGTTTGTTTCATATTAAATATTGAAAGATTCTGTGTGTGAACTAATTAGGTTGAATCAAAAGGTTTTGCAGTTTTTATATATGTAAATTATGGCTTCATACAAAGAAAACGTCGGGGGGTTCGTTACTGTCTTAAGAGGTGGGGGTTTTTTTGTACTCCAACAAATGTAGTGTGATGTTTGAAGACACATGTTCCATGGGCTAGTCACCTTCCTTCCTCTTCAGGAAAGTCTCTGTACTAATTAAATGATAATAACTGCTTTTGAGAAATCTTATCCACTTATAAACCTCATAAGGTTACTATAATACATTGGATTACTGCTAGCAGATTTAAAGCCTCTTCGTTTTGTATATTTGCGTTGTGTAAATGTTTCTTGGGTTTCGTCACAATCCCCTCTGTCGACTGCTTGGCACATAAGGTCCAACATCAAAACTCTCGAGCATTGGAGTTCATACAGTCCAATGCTGTTCACAGCTGACCTCGTATTACATGGTCAAGCTGTGAATCCAAACCACACCAGCGATTTCATACATGACTGGAAAGCTGATGTCCTCTTTCAAGGGTGGAAGTGGGACGGTATCCCTCTGTTCTACAGGTAAAACCACGGGTAGTTGTGGGTGACTGGTGCGGGAGGAAGCTATGTGGAGACACATTCTGGGTATACCTTCCAAATGTGTGTGTTAAGTGCTATGTTCTTTTTCCAGTGAAGGCAGGTGTCTGGGAAAGCAAACGGAACTTTTTGTGGTTTGTTACGAAGACTCGAGCTCCAACGGCGAGATGTAAATACTCGTGTTACCCGCTCAGGCTGAGAGGTGGTAAACTGTGTTCGTACTGTGCACACCTTCTTGTGGTGCGTCGACAAAACCGTCTATGGCAATCACTTGCCCACGGCTCAGCCCCTTTGTTTTCAGTTTAAACCAGCTTTTGCTGAAGCAATCCCAGGTGTTACAAAAAGCAGCATAGGCGGGGGGGGGCGTGATTTTCACTCTACTTTTGTATCCATTCAAATATATAAACAATAACATCGTTTATTAGAACCCAGTGCATTGCACGAGCTAGCGGTATTCTGAGAATTCCTTTGTCTGGGGGTTTGTGCAAAGCTGCCCATTGTGGCGAGGCTATGGATGAGTTCGGAAGACCCGCACAAGGAACAGGCCCACACACACATTTCAAGCTGTTGGCAGGTAGCAGTGTCGCGATGTGACAGGCTGACACGGGAATGAAACCGCAATCTGTATCTGGATACATTTCACACCACAAGGAAGGATTCAAAAGTTTCCAAAAAATGGATCAAATCAATCCGGCCAAGAAATATACTTGGACCTCCTTGATCCGGGCGTCCCTGATCTGGGAACACCTTGGGTGGGTCGGACCCTAGCAAAGGCAGAAGGAAGCGGTTGTGTGCTCCTGCTCCCCCTCCCAGCTAGGGGAATGGCACTGTAGCAAAATGCTTGTCCAGAGGCTTTTCGCCTGCTGGTCTCAAAGCGGGAGGGGATGGTTCCTGGGTGCAAGGGTCAGCGTGCAGCCATATGTGCCCTTGGGAGCAGAGCGCCAGGTAAGCACCCCATCCCTCTCACACCCAGGCCCCACCCTGCAGTCATGCACCCTCCGCGCCTCCCTGACCCCATCTGTATTGGTGTCTATGTAACGTGTTAAATACAAATTCTGTGCTTTGCAAAGTGTGTTTATTTTCACCTTCAAAACAAAAAGCAGGCACGCCGTCTGCCACAACAAGAGAAGATGGCAGAGCACTGCAAGGTACAGTTTTGCAGTGTTGATGTTTCTTTTATCATCGTACCTACATAATGATGATAAAAACAAAGGAAGTTTAAATGCAGTGCAACAAAACAAAAAGTAGACATGCTGCATTGTCTAGCACACATTTAGCTCGTAAACATGAGACGTGGCAGAGCACTCTACTGTACAATCAGCGGTTTTCAGCTTAATCACCTACATATGATCATAAAAACAAAATAACAGTTTAAATGCATTAAGGATTTATCTGACGACGTGTTAGACATGTCCTCTACTCTATAATGGTTTGTACATACAAAAGCTTTAGTAATAGACTCTCTTTCACCTTTCATTACAGCAAACACCCATGGTCCAGAAAATTCCATAATCTGGCATAGCCTATTTCTCAAAATTGCCAGATTAAAGAGGTTCAAGTGTTTTTTGGGGAGAATGACGTTGCTCGGAACAACAACGTTAAAGAGAGGTTGGCTGGAAAGAGTTGTGTTTTGATAAATTGCCAGATGTTCTCAACTGCCCCATGCTGATGATTTTCTTTTCATTTTTTGTTTTTGCTGGGGAGAAGCCTGCACTCATTTTGGCAGATTTGGAGTTTGTAAAGTCACCAACAGCTGAACTGTTGCAGTTTCTATCAGTAACACTTCTAATGAATATGAACTTACCTGGAAGGATGTGGCAACAGTGAATTCCAATTCTGCTTCCTCGTGCACTAAGTGCACATAAATCGAGCTGAATGAAAAACCTACATAGCTTTGTTTATCTTGCACAGTGCACCTGCTGCATGTTGCTGTCTTTCATACAACAGGAGTTCACATAAGAACATAAGAACGGCCGTACTGGGTCAGACCAAAGGTCCATCTAGCCCAGTAGCCTGTCTGCCAGTGGCCAGCACCAGGTGTCCCAGAGAGGGTGAACCAAAGACAATGATCAAGCGATTTGTCTCCTGCCATCCCTCTCCAGCCTCTGACAAACAGAGGCCAGGGACACCAATTCTATCCCCTGGCTAATAGCCTTTTATGGACCTAACCTCCAGGAAATTATCTAGCTTCTCTTTAAACTCTGTTATAGTCCTAGCCTTCACAGCCTCCTCTGGCAAGGAGTTCCACAGGTTGACTACACGCTGTGTGAAGAAGAACTTTCTTTTATTAGTTTTAAACCTGCTACCCATTAATTTCATTTCACAAAATGATTGATTGTTAAAAGTTCATAATAGATACTGGTAGGCTGCGTCTAGACTGGTAAGTTTTTACGAAAAAACTTGCCAGCTGTCTACACTGGCCACTTGAATTTTCACAGGAACACCGATGATCTCATGTAAGATTGTCAGTGTTCTTGTGGAAATACTGTGCTGCTCCCATTCGGGCAAAAGCCCTCTTGTGCAAATGCTTTTGTGCAAGAGGGCCAGTGTAGACAACGCGGTATTGTTTTGCACAAAAAAGCCCCAATCATGAAAATGGCGATCGGGGCTTTCTTGCGCTAAACCGCATCTAGATTGGCACGGACGCTTTTCTGCAAAAGCACTTTTTGCAGAAAAGTGTCCGTGCCCATCTAGATGCTCTTTTCCTCAAATGCTTTTAACAGAAAAACTTTTCCATTAAAAGCATTTGCGGAAAATCATGCCAGTCTAGACGTAGCTGTACAGTTTTCAAGCCTTTAAGTAACAAAACAAAAAACCCCTCCTCTCTGGTGTTTGCAAAGAAATCACATTTGAACACTGCATTCCAGTTCCAGTTTGGTATTCGGCTTCACAGTGTTCTGAGGGGTGTCTTAATGCGACCTTTAAATCAGGAAGAATTCAACAATTGAAAAGCTGGAATCTCAAGCAGCTACCTACGCAAGACATTCAGCACAGCTTTCGTATCAAACTTGAATTCCTGATTGAAACACTTCAGCCGCTATAGAAAGCACAGAAGAAATTGGAATCCAATTCTTTAACAGACAGTAAAACCTTCTTATGCAGAGGTGTATGGCACATCTGGAGAGATTCCAGAAAAAAATTATTTTCATGTGTACGTTGCCAGTCACTGAGCAGGACAGTTTGCAAAATATTTCAGAAGTTGTTGCAAAGAGCTGTCAAAACCTTGGGAAGCTACTGTCACTCGGAATATGTCCCTTGCAGCTTTTCACAGCTAATCATCTCTCTGGACAGTCATTGTGGTTTTTATCCTCGTCATAAAAGTGTGGTCTCGGCTGATAGATGTAAGCTCATATAATCTCCCCCTTTGTGGCTTCTAAGGAAGAAAGTTCAAAACTAGGAAGTGAATTTTATGGCTATGTTTCAATGCCATCTCTGAACATGTGTTCCATCTCGCCTCTTGAAATCTGGAAAATCCAGCACACCAACTTCCTAGCTCTCAGCTGTGCTGCCTCTCACATCCTCAGTGCCCCACTGGGCTCATCTGTTGTGAGAACAGGCCTTGGAAAAGACTCCTTATAAAGATAGCTACGAGCTTGCGCTCCAGGGGACTTTTGGAAATTATACTGGAAAACTTCACATAAGCCAGTGAGTGTTTCTAAATATGTTAAAATATTGGGCCCAGTTATTAGGTGTAAACCTTTATAGGCTAGTGGTTCTAAATCTATCCTGGTGAGCTCTATTCAAATGAAAAGTTTCATTTGGAGACGGAGATGTTTTGTTTGCGTAAGCTCAGAGGTGCCGTTGTGTGTCGAGTTCTGTTTTAGTTCTGCGGCAAGCCGTACTGAATTCCATTCATCAAAGCATCAATCTACTAACACTTTTTCCTCCTGTCCTTCTGCCCACCCAAACAAACCCCACTATTTACCCAGACAAACGGATTGCTTTTCCTCCTACTCTCAGCTGTTTGTGTTGTTGTCATGAACTCTGATCAAATCCCAGGATAATTAAATCAAATACAACTGAAAACAAAGGGCCCTAAGCAGCTCTGTGACGCTATAGTCCAGCATTACCAAAGGGCGCATGCTTGGCACACCGCCCAGCAGCAACCACATCCCTGAGGCTGGTCTGACGGACAGTTGTCAGAGGACTCTTTGTCAGTGGGAGTTTTTAAATCAGGACTGGATCTTGTCTACATAAGAACGGCCAGACTGGGTCTGCCGACAGTGGCCAATGCCAGAGGAAAAGTTCTGGTTTGAGAATTCTTGTGGGGAATTTGGCCTGGGCTATACAGATCCGGCTACGTAATCACAATGCTCCCTGCTTGGTTGGGAGTCTGTTAAAAGGTTATTGATTTAGAATCACCCACATTTTACACTTTCGAGCTTATGTAGCCAAGTATTTTGCTTTCTCTTCCTGCATCTTCCCTCCTGTTGTTTCTCGTTCACTTGTTTCATCTTGCCTTAAATTAGGTTGCAAACTCTTCAGAGCAGGATGCTCTGGCTGCTCCTCTGAATTCAACAGCCCCAAGCACAGGGCACCCCGCAATCCTGAGTGGGGCTTCGGGGTGCGACCATTATTCCAATAGAAACGCTTGCTCCTCCAGAGGAGGCTAAAGAAATGCTTACTCCTAGGCAACAGGGATCTGGTGTTCTGCCCCTGTGCTTGATTGTATCCACTGCTACGCGCAGCCCTCATTTGCAAGACGATTACTC